TAAAAAAAGAAGAAAAAAGGACAATAGACATCTGGTGCGAATCAATCAAAATTATACCTGGGGTTTTTTTTGGTCAAATTGGCGAAATTTAATATATTTTTTGGCGTGCTATAGAATTTTACATTAGTGGATGTGCGCCATGAGACGAAAAGGCTGAAAACCACTGATGCACACACACCCCTAAGCGGACATCCTGTTGGCGCCCAAATAAGGAGCACACAGGGCCGGGGTGCTGGGTCTCGAAACAGGTTCTCTCACTGAGTGGATGCCCGCGTCTTGAGTGTGAGGCAGACGAGCAGAAACCGCCTGCCTGCACTGGAGCACTCGAGCTTCCTGCCTCCGTGGGCCGTCTTGGTCCTTCTCCGTCGCCACGACCCACTGAGGAAGGGGGTCTCTGCCCAGGGCCCTATCCTCACCACTTTGTTAGTATCACGGGGGTCGGGGGAGAGGGATAGAGAGACCCCCTTCCTCCTCTTTGGAAGCAGGGGCTTGAGAAAGGAGGCTGCATGCGGGCAGTGGGCCCGGCCTGGTGGAGAGAGGGCCGGGGACACACACACGGCGTTAGAGAGGACTCTGGTTTAAAAAAGGAAAGAGGATGGGAGGTGGAGTAGACAAGCCTGCGGACTCTTTCACCTGCTGACCCCTGGCCACTCCTGGCCTCCGGCGCCCATCGGTGTGCCTTCTCCCAGGCGGAGACCTGGGTGCACTGAGGGCCAGGTGAGGTCGGCAGGCACGGACTGAGTCTCGGGTCACGTCTGTGGGACAGAGGCCATGCTTCTCGCTCTCAGGAGATGACTGACAAGAAGCGCAGGGGCCCGAGGCATCTGAGAGGGAAGGATGAGGTCCTAGGAGAGCCACGAGGGAGGCTGCCCCGCACGCAGGGAATGCGGACCTACCTGCAGGGCGGCGTCCCACCTGGCGCCTGGGAACTGCAGGTGGGGGAGTTCCAGGAGAGAAGCCGGGTGCCTGCTGGCCCATCACAGCTCAGGCTGCCGCCATGTCACGCTACCTCAACAACGGAAACCCGCTTCCTACAGCTCTGGAGCCCGGGAGTCTGAGGTCGAGCCTCTTCCTGGGTGCAGACCGACCCCTCCTTGGCCTCTCGCGCGAGTGTGTGTGGACAGACAGACCCCTCCCAAGGCCACCGGTCCTGCCTCATCAGGACCCACCCCTATGGACTCACTGGACCTTAGTTATCTCCTAAAAGCCCCCCCGCCCCAAGTGCGGTCTCGGGGGGTTAATGTTCAACATGGAACGGGGTGGGGGGACCACACAGTTCAGTCCAAGGTGCAGCCGTGACTCCGCCTCCCCCGGCCAGAGGGACGTCTCATCCGAGAGGCTGCCCTCACCAGCTGCGTGTCAGCCACCCCTCGGTGGCCACAGGCCCCGCACTGCCGGCTCCAGGGGACTGTCAGGAGCCCTGGCTCTGGTCAGTTCACCACCTGCAGCTTCCGGGTCCTTTCTATAAAGGGGGGCGGGGCGGGATGGCAGCCTCAGGGCTTAGCTGAGGCTCACACAGGCATCTGTGACCAGAATGTAAAAGCCACGTAGCAATGGCACTGCTGCTGGTCCTCTCCGGTGGCATCTGCTCCCACCGAGGGGCTCGCAGGACCGGAGCCCCTCCCAGGTGAGGCCTAAGGTGTGTTATCCGTCCTCCCTGCCGCCTCCCCATGAAGGCACTCGCTGGGCAGATCGGCAGCGCCGGCCCTCGGCTCTGGCGGGGCGTCAGCAGCATCTCCAGCCCCTGGAAGCCATAGCCGGCCTCCCCGACCCTGTGCCCGCAGGACCAGGACGGGCTCCTCACACAGCGGGTGCCGGGGGAGCGGGTGGGGCATTAGGGCGTCCTGACGGCTCTGAGGAGGGAGGTCCCGGCAGGAGCCCGGTCCTAGAAACAGGTGCAGAGGGTCAGCGGGCCGTGTGCTTTGAGCGGCTGTGCCCAACGTGCCAGGGAGCAGGCAGGGGGCAGGGCCACCGACGGAGCCACGGGCCCGTCATCAGCATGAGCTTCCTGCGGAACACAGGGAACCCTCACGCCAGGAAGCCTTCCAGGCAGCACAGCCAGAGACCCGCTCCTTCCGACTGGAGACGGGGCGGCAGCCGCTGCACCTTCCTCCCGTCCTGTGCGGCCCTGCTGGACGGCGAGGCTCGTCCGTGCCACCGGGGGATCCACCCGCGCGTCCCTCATGAGCTGGACGGTCTGTCTGCCTCCACCTCCCCTCGCCTCAGCCTGCACGGCCAGCCCTGGTCGCACAGCGTGTCAGGGGGAGGGCATCGGGGCCTCGCGGCTGGGACAGGCCTCCCTCGGCCACGACACTGCGAGGACGAGGAGAAGGTGGCGCCTGCAACCTGGAGGAGACCCTCCTGGGCCCCAGCCTGGCATCCCGGCCTCGGCTTCCGGCCACAGA